ATATTATTCCCACGCACTAAATCACTAATCTGGTCTCGGCGTCCCCTAGCACCAAACCCCCTGATGTTCCAAAATAAGGCTTTCATTTATAGGAAAGATTTTTGATGTGGAGACTCGACCTGCTAGGGGCTACACAGGGTTTTGATCTTTTGGCAATGCCCCTCCTAGAATAGCTTGGCTGGGGTTGGCCACTACCAACCACCACGCCATCCCCCTGAGACCCAACACTCACTGAAACTGTAGCCGTAGAGGCAACAACCTCTTTGGCCTTAGCAATGGCAGCCTGGGCCACCTCATTGGCCCGAATAGAAGAAAGGAGGGAGGAAGGAGAGCCTAGCTCGGAGTCGACAGAAACGCCCACATCAGACATGATATTTAACAGGTGATCATCAGAAAGAGGAGGTAGAACAAGCCGAATCGGGGAAGGGGGAGGGATTGGACCAATATTATTACCTCAAGGAGGACGATCCTTAGCAGCCGCCCGCCGCTCCGCCCGCGCCATCACCGATTCACCCGCGTCACACACCCGCCTGCCCTTGCGAGCCGTGGAGGTAGGCGACCGGATCGAGGGAGAGCGAGCCATGGGAGAGGCCGGAGCAGGACCCGAACGCGACATCAAGGCAAGATCCTTGTCGAGGCGACGACAAACTCCCGTCATCGACTGCTTAGAGCCCGAAGAAGCCTTGCTCTTCGCAGAGAATTTCCGCACCGAAGATTTCTTCTTCCTCTTGGATTGCGAATCATCATCAGCACGGCCAGGGGTGAGGGGCAGATCCTCAATACCCGAGCGCGTGGGAGAGAGAGGGCGGCCCGGGAGGTTGGAGCAGGCCCTGGAGATGGGGGTGACCGTGGCAGCCGGCTTCTTGCGCAACAAATCATCTTCAGCATGCATTACTGGGGCAGAAAGAGGGGCGGCCTCTGCCTCGCGAGGGGCCTTATCAACAGGCGCTTGAGACTTGAACAATTCCCGCTCAGATTCAGCCAGCCCGTCCCATTCGGATTGAGTGAAGCACAGATCAGAACCCCCACTAGGGTTCTGCCCACCCATAGAACCATCCCCATTCTTATCATGCTTATCCAAGAGGTTGGATGAGGGGGAGGGGGGATGGTGGTGGAAGGCTTCAGCTCCTTCCACCCGAACACGCATTCTGACACCATTGGGCGAGGGAAACACATCAATCGATCCGCGGACACAGAGTGGGTCAACACACCAGATCTTGATACGAGCAGGACCAACCTTATCCAGCGATTCCGCGTCCACTTCCACTGGTTTACCAATCAGAGCGCCGAAGGCCATCAGAAAGGAAGACGAGCGGAGCTCCACTGGCACATCATCCACCAAAACCCAAATCTGAGAGAGGGCCAACAGCTTTTCCACCGCAGGACGCAGGCTTCACCGACACCACCAGCTGATTGAGGGGGAGGGTGAAGCTGGTGCACGACGCAATCATACGGAGGCAGTCCTTGGAGGGGAAAACGACAGAGAACTCAAAGTCTGACAATTGATTCACTTGCCAGTCCCATCCTTCGACATCCCAGATACGAAGCCCTTCAAGCAGAGTTTGGGAGGAGATCTTTTGCTCTTGCACCGTGATAATGGTGGCATTGGAAAGGGAGGGGGCCGCCACCAGAACAGGTAGATCACAGTCCAAGGCGAAAAAGGAGCATCCAGGGAGGCCCGAGCCAAATTGGAGGAAGGAGGCTTCTGACGATTCTGACAGTTGACAGTGAGGTGCCCATATGAACGGCAAATCAGGCAGAATGGGGGATTGGTGCATCTGGATTGAAAATGCCCGGGCTGATGACAGGCAAAACAGGTAAGAGCCGAGGGGTTGCTCAGGGTTGCAGGGATAGGGCGATGCATCGGAAGGGAGGGAGGAGGAGGAAGGATGCCATCCCCCACCCCCGACGAAGACGCGCCAGGGTGAGGGCCAACAGGGCGCCGGACCGGGCCGGCGAAGGACCGCGGAGGGGGGCGAGGCCCAGCGCCAGCGCCTACAGGGCGAGGGACCTACCGCACCGGGGCAGGAGCGCCACGCCCCGCACCCTGGCCAGGCAAAGAGCTCGACGAGGACGAGCGCCCCCCCACCAGCCGCCGCCTCCCATGGATCCAGCGCCGGAGGGAGAGACGGCCCAGATCCAGAGCCTTGCTGGAGCGACTCCGGACCAGCAGCCCACGCAGCACGATCGCGAGCCACCTGCTCCGCCTCTAGCTTGAAACGCAAGGAGGCCTCGAGCTCCAGATCCACACCCGAGCCCGGCAAGTCCTCACGCTGGCGCTTGCTACCCGAGACAACATCACAAGACGAGCCCCTGGACTTGTCCATGGAGAGAGCCGCCACGAAGGAGAGGAGGAGGGGAGGGGGAGGGGTGGATCTGACGAGACGGCGAATGGGGGCACGGTGTCTACGCAAGTCAGCGGCGGAAGTCGGAAACCCTAGCAAGGGGGGAACGGAGCCGCGGGGGACCCATATATAGCCAGACCGAGCCAAACCACTTGGGCCTGGCGGGCCACATGGGCCGGGGGAGGGGGGAGGGAGGACACAGGCAAGCGGGAGCCGCACGGGCCCCCAAGAGGAAGGGGGGAAAATCGTCAACTGATCACAGAATAGGAGGAGCGGGCTGGATAGCCAGAGAAGAACCAGGAGGCCCAATAGGCCCAGCGACCAGCCCACCACGTGACCCACTAGTCAACGGGTGGGAGACCAGATCTAGGGCAGGCGCCGCCGTCTCCATGACGCATCCCGCCGCCGCCGTCGCCGGAGACGACGGAGCAGAGGCAGAGGGAGGAGAGGGAGGGCAAACCATGGCCGGAGCGGCACTCAGGATCCCAGATCCGGGCGAGGGAAGGGAAAACTTACCAGACTTGCGACGGCGGCGAGAGACCCGGACCCAGCCAGCGTCAGACGACGGGGGCGGCACCGGCCGGCCCCGACCTCCAGGCCCAAACTTGCGGGAACGGGGCACAGCGGACGGAGAGGAGGTCCGCACAGGAAGGACCGGCGAGGGCGAGCACAAGGCCTCCTCGTCCGACGAGCAGTCCTCATCGGATTGAGGGCCCAAAAGCGAGAGCCAAACGACGCTGGGGGAGGAAGTGGAGCCCGCGACACCGGTGAGCGTACCGAGGGAGAAGAACCATACTTGGGGGAGGGGGCGGACCAGGGCCCGGGACGACCACAGAGGAGCAAGGGACGGCGGCGGAGGGGCAGGGGAGGGGGGAGAGAGGAGCGGGAGGGAGAGAGAGGAGAGCCATCCAAAAGCCCGTTGCTCCATAGTTATGCTCATGTACGTGTCTTGTGAATAGTTGGCGCAGGCCTGAACTAAAGCAGAGGGCAGTGGTGGGATGCCTGTATCATAGCAGAAACCCGGTGATCCAAGTGTGAGGCCTTGGGAGACCTCAATTGCAACATAGTACTGTTTGACCAAAAAAAGAAAGAAAGAATGGCACTGAATGATGGTCATAACCGCCTTTGTTATGCATGATTGATGCTGTTAGCCTCATGATAAATTAGGCTAGAATAATTGAATAAGTGGCCTGAATTCGTACAGCAAGTTGGAGTGCTGCGCGCATAACCATTGTGTTAATAATATTCATCTGTGGTGCATGTGACTCCCGTGGTAGGTAGGTTGCTGAATGGCAGGATTTTGTGTTGGATGCAACCTACGAAGCACCGATACTGATACGTAAATTCGCCATTTTGAAAAAGTGCCAATACGGAGATACGTTTTACTATCTTTTAAATTCAAAACAAAAAAAGTATAGAAGTTAGAAACAACAGATAATCATATAGATGCATGAAAATGAAATAATTGGTTTGGCTGTACATTTATTGCATATCTCAAGAATAAAAAGATCTTGCAATTTTTTAATCCAATTGCTCGCGTAAATCACTCACCAAACATTCTGTAATGTAGTATTTGGTCCTTCTCCCCTCTTCTTCTCAGTGCTTGCATTTGATGAAGCAAAACTTGCTTAATCACTAGGCAAGGACACATTCTTTGTCTTGTTTTGTGCTAATGCAATTCGAGCCATTACAACCTCAGCTGGTGATTTCTCTATAATTGTAACATGGCTCCACAATGGAGCCCTTAGATTGGTAGGTTCAGCAGGAGGAGCCATCTGGAGGAGGGGGTCAGAGGAGATACATCATGAGAGGAGAAAGGAGAAGACAGAGAGGAAGTGAGCTTAGCTACGGTGGCTGGCGGCTAAACAACTCAGTGTACATACGTTGGTGGTTGTGCCGACCTCAACCGATGAGCTGCCACCAGGATCGAGCTTGACAAGAGGTCTGGGCTGCTGCGTGAGAGGGGCTGAGGGTGAGGGGGAGTCGGAGACGAGGACGACGGGGAGTCGGTGAGGAAGGAGGAGCAGCTCCTCGTAGGCTCGCCGCCGGCCTGCTGCCGCCGCTGGGTGAGCAGCCGCTGCCTGCTGTGGCCTGTGGAGCTCGGAAGGAAAGAGGGGGAGGGAAAGGATGGGGCGTCGGCGGACTAGGGTTGCCTGGTTACTCGTTATCTCTTGTTATGTGGGCTGGGCCGTATCCAAGAAGCACCCACCAAGTATCCAACAGGTATCGGGTTTGTTTTAAATCGTTTATTTCTGGATACTCACAGGATACGTATCCACCATGTATCAGAGCCGTATCAGTATCGGATACGGTATCTGATACGGGTACACGAGGTCAGTGAAGTATCCGTGCATTCGAGGATGCAACTATAGTGCAAAGCAGCTATACTCATTTGTTACTTTTGTCTATTTATGCAAGCTTAGCTTCATTCTAGCCTAGTTTTGTTGTGATTGTGCCTTTTGTTCTAAAATGGCAGGGTCAAAAAAGGTATGAACAACACATGAGCCGTGGAATGATCTTTTATAGTATTTTTGGCACTCTACAAAGTGCAGAGCTAATTTTACAGCCTTATCTTTTCTGTTTTACATAGGCTATCACTAATTTACCATTCTTGAGACTTGAGCTAAGTCGCTGAATCTTTCTGCTTTAGGCGCTATGGATTCACCGGAGCCAAGAATCGAGGTCGAGCAAAAACCTGTTCTCGGTAGTAACACTAAAGAGCAGGCCATTATTTGATTATATTTTTACAGATATTCTATAGAAACTGTCTACTGTTTTTCACCCTTTTTGCTATTGTATACCTTTTTCTACCCAGACCATTCCTAGGAAGGATGAGAAAACTGTTAAACCTACCATTTCACTTGATTCAAGTGTTATCAATCTACCAAGTGAAGGACAAGTCCAGGCGGTCACATCCAACATAGGTGGGGAACATAGGGCTGCATATCCACAACACATTTATTCCTCGCAAGCACAACCATTCTATTACCAAGGTGAGGCCACTTTTGTGCTGTATTTACAAGGTTGCACCTTTTGATCGCATGGTTATTCTCTTGTTTGTGAAGCAAAACATATGTTTACACTGTTGAGGTGTGCTTCGGTACCCCCTGCTCCCCTCGGTGCAGATCAACAGTTACGACTAAAAGTTACCCTTTTGATATTGTCGGAAATCTCTACTCTCGGCTCACACGAACACGAAGAACAGAGAGTTAAAGAGGATTCTTTTGCGCCGCGTGCAATTGCGACTTTTCTGATTTCTTTCTTCTCCTTTTATTCGGGCTACAAAGGACATGTGGTGCCCACTGTCCCTACTTGGTCGTGCCATCCCACGGACGGATCCAAGTGCTGGAAGAATTGCTCAAAACAAGCCTACGAGCTAAAAACGCTAACTGAAGAACAACTGCCATAGCTAAGCCCACTAACTAGAGAGGCAGTCCAAACCAATGTAAAGTCAGACAACCACGAATCCAGCATCGGGAACATGCGGCGGGGGAACCCTAGCCCCGACCACCACAATCCCCCTCCCGGAACCGCACCACCTCGCCACCACCGGAGGAGCGGCTGGCAAAGCCCGTGCCGGCTCCCAGGATGGTGGTGGCGGGGCGCATCGTCAAGCTTCGACTCCCCTGCCGGCCGCCCTCCACTGGTCGCGCCCTGCGCCAGCGCATCCCTGGCGGCCTCCTACACCCCTGCCCTAGCCCGCCCTCCGTGCCACGGGCTGATGCGAGCTCCTGCCGTTGGCGAGGTGCATCCGCCTCGCCCTGTCCCCGCGTCAGATCTGTGCGTCCTGCTGCCGGCTTCCTCTCTACTGACGGCGCTGGACCCGAGATTTGGGTTGGCGTGCTCCTCTGCTGGTCTCGGGCCGTCCTTGCGGCGCCGCGACGGTGCTCTTCTCCATCCGAGCCGCGGCCATGGATTCAAGGTGCGCCTTTTTGGTGTGCTTCCGGTGGTGCCTCCCCAGCGCTGGCCGGCCCATGCAGCGTGCTTGCTGGTGTACGGGCGCTCATGCCCTTGCGTTGGAACCCTCCCTGGTGTAGCTCCGAACCCGCGGCCCTCGACCTGCGTTTTCCCGTGTCTGGTGTAGCTCCGGACCCGTGACCCTCGACCTGCGTTTTCCAGTGTCCTTGGGTTGCCGGTGCCACTTCTGGCGCGACGCCGGCCCCGGCGCTACTGAGGCTGCGTCTCCTCCAGCCTCTATGGCTTGCCGGTGTCTTGACGGCCTCGGCTCCGGCAGCCCGGATCTGCAACTCCTCCAGTTCCTGGCTTGTAGGCGTCGTCGGTCGCCGTCGCGTTCCCTGCATCGGCCCCTTTTGCCCAACCGACTCCCCCAACCCCGGCCACCTCGCTGCCCCACCCCTCGTCATGTCCAAGGTTCGCGTGTCCAGCGCGGCTCCCCTCTGGTTCTGGTGGTTCTTTGACCTATGTGTGGCTTCCGACTCCTGGTTCCCGTCCGGTGGCTTTGGGATTGCTCAGACATAGGCCAGGGAAAAATCCCTTCTCGGCTTGCCTATGCTGGCAACGGCGACACTTGCGAGTGCCGTCCCCTTCCTGGACGTTGTCATGGCCTCTCTCCGCACCCATCTTCGAGCACCAGGGAAAACCCTAAGTCTGATTCTTCAGATCAGACGACGATGACGCCACGATGTTGTTTTCCTTCCTGGAGGCGTTGTCTTGCATGCTCGCGGCGTCCCCGGTGCTGGATTGGTTGTGTGACTTTACGTTGGTTTGGACTGCCTCTCTAGTTGGTGGGCTTAGCTATGTCGTTTGCTTGTTCGGGCCAAGCACCCTGTCTCTCTTCTTTTCTATTTTGGGCACTGTGTTCACGCCTTGCATTCGTGCATGTGTTCTACCTCACTTGTACTCATTCTCTCTTCTTCTATCAATGAAAAAGATAGCATGCTTTGCGTATTCGTGAAAAAACTTTGATGCCGCAGTAGAGACACTTGTCGCAGCCAGCGGCGTTGTTCCCGCCGCTAGCATTGTTGTCAGCACCCCGGTGATGCCCGCCGCCACCGCCGCGGCCCTTCAAGCGTTGTCCCCTGTTCGAGGAGCGTGACCCAGAGCCGCCGGTGTTTGAGCCGCCGAACTTGTACCGAGCGAGCCACTCCTTCTCAGTAAGGAGCAGCCGCACCATGCCGTTGTCGATTTGGTTTAGTTCGAACCGCTCCTCCGCCGCCATTAGCCGCCTTGTCAGTTCCTCGCTGGTTAGAATGTCGAGGTCGAAGAGGGTCTCGATCGACAGAGCGATCTGCGAGTATTGCGACATAGAGAACTTAGAGACAACGCGCTTCAACGGCACTGCCTCGCTGAGCTGTGCCATTTGTGTCACCATGTTCATGATGCGCATGGCGAAATCGTCCACGGCCTCGCCGTCGGTGAACCGGATGACGCTCTACTGCTTCGACAACGTCGCAAGCTTGGTCTCACGCACGCGTGCTACCCCGAGGCGCATCGTCTTCAGGGTGTTCCAGGCCTCTTTGGCTGTGGCCTTGGCAGCGAGCGTCGCCATCATCTCCGGAGGAACACCGAGGAGGATCACCTCAAGAGCGAGCCGGTTGTCGCTGATAGACGGTGGTGCTAGACTCGATCGCGACCCAAAGATGCCGGCACTCAAGCATCACCTTCATCAGGAGGGCCCAATCCCCGTTGTTTGTACGGTGAGCATCGGCTAAGGGGTGCCGCCGCCTTCATGCACCACCCGAGTCTGCATGATCTGCCCCTGCCCTTTCTTGACGCTGGTGATCTAAGCTCGCGGTGCGCCGAGGGGTGCCTGCTGCCCCTTCAGCTTGTCGTCATCACCCATCTCTCAACGAGGCTCTGATCCCAAGTATCGGCAATCTTTACTCTCTCCGCTCACATGAATACAAAGAACAGAGAGACACAGAGGATTTTTTGCGCCACGTGCAATTGTGACTTTTCTGATTTCTTTTTTCTCCTTTTATTCGGGTTACAAAGGACGTAAGGAACCCATGATCCCTACTTGCTGGTGGCATCCCACGAACGGATCAAAGTGTGGCAAGAATAGCTCAAAACAGGTGAGCCTACGAGCTAAAAACGCTGACTGAAGAACGGCTGCCATAGCAGCGAAAAACACGTGCCATGGCAGTGAAAAATACGTG